ATATTTTCCAGCAGTCCTGCTTTTGCTCTATCGGCCATATCTGGATTAGTATGGCGCTATATACTGTCTGACATAAGTTCTTCGCCATTTTGCTGATTACTAATATGCTGCATTCAAGCGTTCTATAATATAGTGACAGGTATATAACTTTTAGTAATGTCTACTCTGACACCACCTAAATCACGATATTGCCATCTTGTAAAGAGGGTCCGATTCTAGAACTTGAGTCTTGGAGTTTATCTGACGCGTGTTCAATAGGAATACACAATTAGACTCGATACATGGAGATGATAACTGAGGCTGCTTTTCTAGCTTTCTGGATTTAAGTTTTCTTTGTTGTAGCTGATGGCAGCTCATAACAGTGATTATATCGTCCGATTCAAAGGATCAGGTGCTTGGAATTCTTTGGTGTGTTTTATGTCTTAGGGTTGCATAAAGTCGCAGGCTTCCTCGACACCTGAGCGTTGAGCGGGGTTGGTAGCATGATTACTTTACGAGCAGCCATGACCTAAGGCGAGCTGAAATCTTAAGGTTTATGAGATATGGTATAGCCATGTTCGTCAACAGTGGTATTTTTCCTAGGCACATCTAATTTCGGAGTACTCACCATCGGGGGCAACGTCATGTCTGTACAATATTTTACTCTAGCATGATCTACTGCGCAAAAAATCATACATGGCGTAATTTTTTTTATCAGAGTCGCTATGAATTCTGTGGCGTTCATTCATTTGCTCATGGTCAGGGAATCGATTAGATCGAGGAATTCCTGAGCGGAGCTTAGTCTTTCTTTCCCTTCCTATTCTGCTTTTTACACTGCATTGACAAGACCTAGCAGGCGTGAATAAAGTTGCCCTCACGGACTTTGGGCGTCGACGATGAAAGTTTAGTAGCGATAGCCTTTCACCAAATAGTAGGTCTTTATTAAAGAGTAATGAGGAGTAAATGAGATGGAGCGATGATGAATGATGTAGTTCGATCTGTAGCACATTGTTACCTGATTGAATCATTTCATAATTATCATAAATGATAGAATTAACCCTCAAACCATTGAGACAATAGAAGTGCCAAAGTTAACGCCACCCTCCAGTTTCTTTGTCGCAAATCACGTCTGTGATGCTCCACCACCGCATTATGGATTACACTCAATTGGAAACATCGCGCAATGAAACGGGCGCAATTTCCCTGAAACAAGAGAAGATTTCAGCTTAACGAGAGTCATGTTCAGATTACTGCTATAATGATGGGATATATGCGCTGTAGGTACCAATGTGAGCGATACACAGCTTAAGCCACAATATAAAAGATTGTGGCGCTATCCAGACATAGAAAACCGTGAATAAACTCCGTGCTCGGCATACAGCTACTGTTTTTTTATTTTTGTTTATTATATTATTTGAGATCGAGGCTATCTGTGTAAGGATTCTCCTTTTCATACTGGGGAAATATTCTCAACACCTGCCAGGGATATCCCCTATGAACCTCCAGCTCTCACTGTAGAGTCTGCAGAGCCGAGATTGAGTAACAAAGTCCTCACTTCGACGAGGATTCCCAATCGCTTTCGCCGTCTGTATCGTCTTCGTCTCTCAACGCATTCTCCTATCACCATTATCATGAAGCTAACCACAATCAGATCAGATGGTAGAGTCGGAGCCCTTCTCAACACCAACTCCTGATCATGGAGGAGAAGTCATCCGATGAGTTTCCGGAGCGTACCCAGCACCCGATACCGAGATGGCGGATTGGATCAAGTCGGCCTCGACTGTTACAAAGAAGGGAGATATAGATGAATATGCGTATCTCATGTGGTTCCAGTTTCTAGGCCTCGCCTGGCTGGGGCTGCAGGTTTTTTGAGACTTTTTCCCGCGCACGCAGTTTCCATTGCTACCATTTTATTTTTTTGGGTAGAAGGTTTCGTGGAAAAGGTGGCCGAATTCCACGGGTAAACACTGAGCTGAATGGCTATTCATCAAGGGCAATAAATCAATTATAATTCAAGAAACATGAGAGGCAAGGAGCACAGTACAAGGCGCGACCAGGGTCAGAAAGGAGCCCAATGTGCTAGTTAGTCATAGACTCAAGTAGTACAATAAACATCACTCACTCATCCACTCTTTATCAAACCGAATTCAATATATGATTTTACCCTTCTTCTATGTTGCTATGACAACAGTGCGGTTCTTGGCACTTGGTGTTATTGAGGATCCAGGATCATAAATATTGTATTATAATTTGTCACGTGTACCCCAGTTTTTATGCATAATGCACACTAAGCTAGAAACCTGTATATACTAGACACATCCTGTATATTTAGAGGGGGAGTCACACACTGTCTAAAGATTTCACTATATAGAAGATATAGTAGAAATCCAGAGACATCGTGACCTACGATTTCCGTATATTCACATTTTATCAATCTAGCATCCTAGGAACTTAAAACCTCATTATGTCTGTTTTTTTTTTTAAATCATTTAATGTGTATTCAGCTATCTAGCTATGACACATGACCGGTGCTATGTATACATGTGGGATGACTCTTTTGACGTTAGAGACACTCATACTCTGGATTTCATTTGCAAATACCACTATGAGGTATGTTCGCTTACACAAACAGTCGACCCTCCTCCGTTAGTACTCACCAAAGGGAATTTAAAAACCTTTGATTATCCAAGCATGCCTTCGTCATCCATGCATACCAGCGCCGCGAGAAATGTGGTTGTGTTTTGCCGGATTCGAACCAGCGATCTACTGTCTCAAGTGGGATATGTGTCCAAGCTATCCAGACTCTACTTGGCAGACCGGCCAAGACGATGTACCACCGCACCATCTAACTATGGCAGTTTTTATAGTGTCGCCTGCACTCTCGCAGCCGAAGACTTGGCACGCACAAAGCTCAATTTGTAAAGACTCCTTTCCAAAACTCAAAATTCCACACCTATCGAGACTGTATCCAATCCTCTGCATCATCTTATTAACTTGTCCTGATCCCTCTCACATCCATCCCAAGGAATTGTCTTCCAGATTTGTGCGCCATGCTTTGCTTCCTCCGTCGGGTGTAAATATCGGCGTGGGCGTGTATCTGGCGACCAGCTAAGGCCAGAGAAAGTCGACAAGAGGTGTGGTCATTGGGATGAGGATGTACTAGGTCGTACTTGTAAACTTGATGAGGTTTAGGTAGGAATCGATTTCGTTGGGAGTGAAAGATTGATATGGTGGAGTAATTTGAATCATTGCCTCGTGGGCCAACTTGTTCGGTATTGCGAAGTTTGACTGAACTTGGCTCTGGGAGAATATTTCACTCCCAGGTTCGTAGAGGACACCGCGTACAGGTGTTCAGTCTTGCCCTCCGCCCTAAGGGCCATGCAGGTGTCTACGAACTCTAATATTTATACAGGAGGAAACCTTTATGATATAAACCCCCTCAACTTTTCAATTTATTTACACTTTAAGGTTGTGTTACCTTTAGGAATGTTACAGGCTTACCGCCTTGTGTAGTTAGAATCGGAGTTGTCCGATTCCACTTGTAATGATTGTTCACGTGACATTATTTGATAGCCAAGTTCGGGTGGGTTACGTAAGGCTCAGCATATACTTAATCGCGTAGTTCATATACTCCTTTCGTTATACAGAATATAAACTCCATTTTGGATTCACTTTTGCGAACAGCTAGCGTGACCAGTCCTTTTACAAGGAAGTGCACTATCACTGTCATGTCCAGTGTGGATACCATTCCCTTCCTTGCCACTGGGAGAAGTCTGTCAACCTTCTTCCCTCTTCCTTTGGCCCAGCTGGTGCAGGCCATGATCATATGCTTTACATTTTGAGACGGGTATCCACACTGGCATCGTGGATTGTCTACTCCCGAAACTTTTCTTCTGTGCAGATAGGAATTGAACCCAATGTGTTCACTTCTTATCTGCATGGCTATACTGCTGTGGGTTTCGATCGATCACAATTGAAACAGGATGGTGACAAAAATAACACGTGGCTCTACTACAGCTAGTTCCGCAGAATGCAATAGTTAAGCTTGAGTTCTAACAAATTTGTCTGTATCATCTCCTAACTCCCAACTCCGAAATCTACACTTTGTGCGTAGCTTACTAATTATAGGCTAACCGCATTTAGTAGTCTATATTATATAACGTTGCCTGCTACGTTTAGGATCCACACTGCTCTGGGCCCTGTTCAGGTGTCTATGGACACTAATCGGCGTTCCTCTTAGATTCATTCTTGTTCTTCCGGTCTCTTTATCTTTAAAGATATTTGCTACCATCCAGATTTTGGGATCTCCCGTTATGTCTGTATTATTTTAAGGCCTATATTATGAATTTCTAGCAGTAGTAAAACAGGAACACGTATGATAGGTTAGTTTTTTGACAGAGTTCTTCACATCTTGTTGTCCGTCATACCCAGCACTTTTAAGTCATCTCTGGTCACCTGCAGCACTTTCAGTTACAATTAGTCTTCATTGAACCTTTTCGTTCCTCTAATTTATTTCATGCACATCTTCAGTCCTCTTTAGAAGTCCAACTAATATCTCCTCCTCAATTCCACTTCAGCCCTCATACCATTGCTGTTATGAATTTATTGGAGATAATTTGGATGTGACAGTGCATGGATTATTTTCCTAATTTGGTTAGAGCCAGGCACATAGATCGTAGATTTTGTCGGTAGGAATATCAGATAGTGCTCCCCTTATCATCACTCGTGTCTTGTTCTGCGATAAATGAATATCTTCCCATTGATAAATCTTCTTGGCTAAATATTCGAATTAAATTCATAACCTCCGTAATATCTGTAACTTTGCAACATTTGATCCTTGGAATCTTCGAACCCTCGTCTTCGTCGAAACTGACTCAACCTCCACAGCTTAATATCTTCGTAAATCCGTCCACAAGTAAGTTCACAACAGTCGCCCCATTCTGAAGTTACTAAGCGTCAAAATAGGAAGGAGAGGGAAGAACACCACTAACAATAACCTTCACCAATCCTCGGCTGACCTCATGGGTGATTCCTGCTTCAGTTATTCCAAGGGCATACATGCTAACAACCCCCAATTACCTTCTTCTTCGCCATTTTTTTCTCTACCATCCCAAGCAAAACCCACCTTTCCAACTTCTCAAGCAAAACCCACCTTTCCAACTTCTCAAGCAAAACCCACCTTACCAACTTCCCAAGCAAAACCCACCTTACCAACTTCTCAAATAAAACCCGACTTATCAACTTCTCAAATAAAACCCGACATACCGACTTCTCAAATAAAAACCGACTTACCAACTTCTCAAATAAAACCCGACTTACCAACTTCTCAAATAAAACTCGACTTACCAACTTCTCAAACAAAACCCGACTTACCACCTTCTCAAACAACTAAGCCGATTAACCTACTTCCTCTCAAATTCTGGAGCCTTCCCTACATCACCCATAGTCCCGAAATTCTTGAAGCTGCAATAATCTTCAATTCGGAACGGGTTGGTGAACTATTTGCCGCTTCAGGACAAAAAGATACTTTGTCGAATTCAAATCCTCAAGTTCTCAGAGAACCTACTCCTCGCATTCCTTTATATGATGGGACCTCTAGCAATTTACCTATATTTTGTTCGCAACTTATGAACCAGCTACAAGACCAATCTTTCTCAGACGAAATATCGAAGGTGCGGTATGCTTATTCTCGTCTTGGACCCGGTGCTCTAAAAAAAATGCGGCCTTATTTTCTTCATCTAGAAAATCCAATTGTTCCTCTGGAAATACAAAATATCACAGAGTTTCTTGCAGCCCTAAAACAGGAGTGCGGAGACCCTAGTCTCATGTGGAAAGCTACACGTGCAGTGGAGCAGATGAAGCAAGGTGATATGAGATTCCACGATTTTATAACCTTGTTCCAAGAGAAAATGGCCGACTCAACATATGCTGAGCTTGAAAAGAATACTTGGAAAAAGATGCTGGAACCCCGACTCTCTTACAAGCTCTCCGAGATACTATTATCTGTCTCCGACGTACCAACTGACTACTTCAAGTTTGTGGCTTATCTCAGAACCAAAGATGCACGTATCCATGAATTAATGACAGATTTTGCGACCCAATCTAATGCTGAAGCTATCATGCCATAATGTATCGGGATATAGCGCTGTGGATGATGTAAAAAGAGCAAGGACGATAAAACGTGACAAGATTAGTAAGGGTCTGCGAGCCCCTGTGTATATAGCTTCAGCCTCGCCAACCACCGTAGAAAAGAGACAAATGGATATACTACTTTTGGTCCTTGTTATTGATGGTCTTACCGTACTTACGTACGTACGTACTCAACTGGATTGTACCAACGCAAGGTATTTCGGCAACAGATCTTGATCTCCTTTCTCGATGAAAGGAGACAGACAGGCGTCTTACCTTCCATGCTCAAGAAGTAAACTGGAATTTAGATCGCTGTTTCTGGTGCGGTATGCTAGGACACATCGCAAAAAATTGCCCTTTAAGCTCTCGGACTTTTGCATCTTGACCCTGGCAGAAATTACACGGAACAGCCTGAAAAATACGAAATCAACCTCGTAATTAAATCACCGATTGTATTCAATCTCGGCTGGGAAATCGAATTTAAAAAAGAAACATCATTTTCCAGACATTTGAAATTCAAACGTAGGAAACGAAATTTTAGTGACATTGGCCTCTACCGTGACCCAGGCCACATCTAGTATAATTTCCTGTCCATTTTTTTTACATAAAATTATCTTTGATACAGAAATTACTCGGGTCTAAGTGAATCCAATTCTTTACAATCAAATTCAATGAATATTATGTTTATATTTTCTCTAGTACGACCTGGTATTTTGAGTCAGTGGGTACTATTTGCCTAGTCTGGCAGCCAATTTATATCTGCGTGTAAGTTAGCCCTGTACAAACTCTCTCATTTGTAATTCTACTGTAAACATCATTAAACCTGTTGCACACTAGTTATTCTAGCAAATTAAACTTCTTCATTCCCAAGAATATTTAATATTCCGATAGTACAAAGAAGCCTCGTTGATCCTACCTTTATCTAGTACTGTAATTAACGCCAGTCTCGTGTTTTCTCTCTGGATAATTAGTACCAGACGTGCAGTAAACTGGCTAGGCTTTTGGTTAGTCTTTGTGGCGCACCTGGAAAGGATTTAAATGTAGTTACCACTCGAAGACTATGGAAGTGAGATGCTCATTGCGGAGCTAGATGGCTCCAAAGTGTTTCTGCTATCTTTCTCACAGTGACTATTCCGTTGAATTTGACAGCTTGTTTGAAATAATTCTCCGCGGAGGAGTCTAGCAGTGTGACGCCTCGAAATGTCTAATGGCCACGTATACGTCGGTCTCCAATCACCTATGGGCCGACTTAATTTAACCCCAGGATTCCAACGACTACTTCCAAACAGACAATACTCTTCAGTTTGTGACAAACCACGGCTCGAAAGGTTTGTCGTACATGTGGATGTTCATACGAAACTCTTGGGCTGTAGACGACCAGGGACATGAGGGTTTGTGTTAGTAACTTGATCTGGACAGTTGATGAATTCCTATTTACATATATACAGACTCTTATCCTTGTAATCTGTTACGGGCTAGGCCCGGCTGGGTTCTGGCTGGACTGTTTAAGGCTATAGGGCCCATCCTTATCTTGAAGGCGCAAGCGAGTTTGTAAATCTTCTCACTATACGGGAGTATTATCAGATCACGTGTAAAGGGCAAGGGTATCTGGAACAGGCATTGTAGTTATAAAGAGCCATAGCTTCCCGCTCGTAATTTCCTCATAGAAAATATAAACATTTAATTGTGGCATTGCTTTCGTGCATTGGCCGAAAGTCCTAGCCCGTCACATAAACACCTTTCTCTTCGGAATAGAATCTTATGATTTGAGCCCATGTCAGATCTTGACCATTCGCCAATTGTCTTCTGTCCCTCGAGTTTCCACAAGCAGGTTACACAGTTTGCTAAGTATGAGTTATACTTCGACAAATTACTTTAAGAATATCGTTACATGGTCCACAGGGAAACGGTTCATCGTTATTCCAACTGAACTTGTAGATTCTTCGAGCTGTCGACTCTCATCGTAGTTGGATCTTTGATTATTTTCAGCATTGCCGCTCTTTATGATGGTCTGATGTTAAATTTCACTTTTTCATCCTTGGCTCAGTATCTACATTCACACATCTTTCGATTTTGTTGCAAAAACATGACGAGTGTCGTAGCTATATAGCCGAATACAATATGTTTTCTTTTTTTAATTTATGTCAGCCATTGAACTTCTACTCACTTAAACATCGCCGTGGTAATGATCTCACAAGTGTGGGTAGCGACATAGCTGATGTCACTGAGTCTATTGATATTAGATTAGAATAGGGCGAGTCCAGTAGAAAATCAATAAATTTTTGTAACGGCTGGTGAACCGACAGGAAGCCCTGTAGCCTGCATTGGCCTACGAAGGCACCCTTTCCACCCGCTGGGACGTCAGGTAATGGAAAACTCACTCTAATGCTCGGACTACTAGCAAACACTCGAACAGTCATGGGGAGGATTGCCTCCAGCACGGAGAGTGACATAATTAGAGGACTGTGTGGTGGACCGTGTGCCGGAACATCTACAGTCAAACTCCTGTTAAGACGATGTAATCGGGGCCGTGAAAAATATCGTCTTACAGAGGATATCGTTGCTCTACAGAAATTCCCTTTTTTGGCGGCATTATTAGCACCAATCTAGCAAAAAAACCCTGGTTAACACGACATTCAGAGGTTGAAGAACGATAATCGTGTAATCGGTAAATGTATGGGAACGAAGTCCGTTCTGGAAAAAAATCGTCTTAAAGAGGATCATCTTAACAGGGGTTTGACTGTATTGAGAAAGTTGACTACACTCGGATGGGCTCAGAGAGGTTTGTCTCGGGCACGGCGAAACTGATTGAAAGGTAGCCGAGTGGTAGGGCGAGCGTCGGGAGCTAACACCAATGCAGAAATCTATACTCCCCACAGCTACACCTGTCCGCTCTTGGGAATAGATGCGGGCCACGTTTTGGAAGAATGCGCGGGGATAAATAAGCCCTTCTTGTACATACATACTCTCACTCGAAGAACCGTAACATATTGATCGTGCATCTCAAGCCAACTTGAGAACTTTCCCCGACTGTCACAATCATGAAATTTAGATTAAGTGTTCTGCTCCTCTCTGTACTCCGGAGACCAAAATTACCGACACTTGTTATAAAATCATGTTGTTAAGCAACTGTATCCAAGCTGCACACGTAGTAATCCCTATGGGTAGCTGGGCCAGAGCCTCGTCCCTACCATACATGCGCAGACAGTACGAATCCAAGGGATTAATCCCATGATAATTGATTAGTTCTCAGCCGTCACATGAGCGGTCTTAGCGCTGGGTCTTAGGTCAGTACAATTTTAGAGCCCATGTTATATTCAGCCAACGGATGGGAACTATGAACACGCATATTGGCTTGGTCTCTCAGCCCCGAGTTCTTTTTGCCTTATTTTCCCTCATGACCCACACTTTGAGATATTCTGCAGGCACCTTGAGTTCCTTCATCTACGACTCGCATCTCATCCAATCCATTAGCTCCTCCTGGTAATCTGGATGGCGCCGTTTATTATCTCCACCAAGAACCTATCCTCTCTGTTCACACTCCACTCTAACACCCGGTGAGTAGTATTTCGGGGTCTCGACGCGTTGAGAATTAGGAGAGAGCCAACATTCAGTCTCAGAAAGTCTAAGCCGGTATGGCCTGTGGTTGATATATGTGATTGACTTACTATCAAGTTGGCGAGCGTGGGTGTTTGATTGAAAATCGAACAAGCGGGGGTGGTGGCAACCCCATCGTCGGGGCCAAGAAATGAGAAGTATTCAAGCCGGATATGGGGGTTGAAGGGTAAGCAACCTACATACCAGAATCTGAGCTAGATCGCTAGATAGTCTCAGCTACAATGGGAATGTGCGTTAGCATGAGAAACTCGTTTATTTTCCGCGGCATATTCTTTTTAATGATTTACCGTAATTTCAGCTACATAGCCATGAAGCATGATCAGTGCTTAGTGTACATGTTGAATGATTCTGTAGACGTTAGTGATATTCATACTATGGATTTCATTTGCAAATACCATTATGAGGTTTGTTCGTTCACACAAACAGTCGACCCTCTTCCGTAAGTACCCACCAAATGGAAATTCCTAACCTTTGGTTATCCAAGCATGCCTTCGTCATCCATGCATACCAGCGCCGCGAGAAATGTATTTGCGTTTTGCCGGACATGAACCTGCGATCTACTGTCTCGAATGGGATATGTGTCCGAGCTATCAGGACCTTACTTGGGAGATCGGCCAAGACGATGTACCACCGTACCGTTCATTCATATTTATTTTTAGACTGTAAAGATACATGTCTTCGTGGCTCAGTTGGTTAGAGCGTTGGTCTCATATCACAGATTGATATGACGGCGCGTGATAGCGTTGAGGCATCCAAAGGTCGCGAGTTCGAGTCTCGCCGAGGACATTGTTTTAATGACCGGCATGCACGACTTCTTCACCCTCCAGTGGTCTCAGTGTCATCGCTCAGTAAGCTCTATAAGTCTGAGATAGACAAGAGGAATCGCATCCGAATTGAAGTCGAAAGTAAGCGCAAGTTTGGCTATTTATTGGGAGGACTTTTATCGCAGTATGACTGTATAGAAGACGATGGAGTTAGCACAGTGGATTGTGGTCAGTTAGAATCAGATATTCGAATTCACTAAAAGTATATCAAGGTCGTGACAGCCAGACTCCTAAGTACAAATTTTCTTCCACGCGACTGATCTGCATGGATAGCGTAATTAACGCGACTCATGTGTTTGACTCTGCCTGACTCGGATTGCCCCTGTAGCAGCTAGACACACCTTGTCATTTAACAATTTCTCCATTTAATCACTTCTCAATCATGCAGCACTCACCATTATCTTCTGAGTCCTCGACCCCGATCTAAGCACATATCATCTCGCCTCGCCGACCGATAAAGTCGTCACCCCAACTGCAAACAGGAGCTTGCCTCATACATTACCGGCCATCACTCTCTACATATTTACGACGTTACTTATACCCGCAAGGAGGAAATTAAGTCATAATATACAAATTTGGGGTCTTGGTTTATGGGGGACTGCTGCTCTAATGGAGTTATACATCTTGAGGAAGGACAGGCGGCTGGGATGTGGAGCGAGAGGGGAAAGAGGTCTCTGAAGACCGTGTTGGGACTGACATTTTCGAGTAGTTTTCAACTTTGGATTTTTTGTGGGCGCCAAGACCGAGATTTCGGCTAATTAGCCATGAGGGCTTCTTCTGTCGATGAGTCAACGGCACTCCCCAGCGCCCTGGACGGTACAAAAGAAGCTAGGCTAAGCTACTATACAGCAATCACGCTCTGTCAAGACTTTTCTGACATTTCGGCACGAGCTTCGGGGAAGAGTTGGAAGGAGGCTAGAAAGGCAGAGGGTGAATTCTCCGAGGTACCCACAAGTCTGCAGCGCCCAGCTGGCCGGCCTTTTCGAACGCTTCGGAAGGGTCACTATGTTTTCGGATCTAGTTCTAATTTCGGTATTAGGAGAGCTCCGCACCCAGTGGTTTTTGCGACTTTTCCCGGCTGCCATACACCCGCAAATGGCCATCGTTTCGTTGGCTGGAGAGGGGAGGTAATGAAGGGCAAAGGGCTCCTTTAAGTGTATGATCTAATGAGGATCTGTGAGGGGTGGTACTGTTTGAGGGGAGCTGTATGGGAGGCATAGGAGGGGATATACTACTGGTATAGGTATCCTTGGCCTATAGGCAGAGAGGACCTGCATGTCCTACATAGTCATAGACTCAGACAGGACAATAAAATGAAATAATAATAATAATAATAATAATAATAATAATAATAATAATAATAATAATAATAATAATAATAATAATAATAATAATAATAATAATAATAATAATAATAATAATAATAATAATAATAATAAGAAAAAACATCATTTTTCACGAAAAGCTGCGCAGCACTCCACGCTGCCTCTTTCATCAAATTGACTTCGTAAATCGCATTTATTCATCAATCTTACCCCATTTCCGTCCCCAAATCCACTGTGCCACAACATGGTGGGTGCTGGTGCCGGTTCGATGGGATCCAGCGGTCCCGACGCGTCGCAAATCGCGACAATGGCCAAACAATCTCAAGGCAGCGGAGCGTCAACAGTTCCTCCAGATAAGAATCTCAATATCCTAAGGCTATTACTAAAAAAGCTCAGGACACTTTATTCAGACGAAGACGACGATGGCATTACCATCACCACGGAAGACATCGCGGAGGCCGTCAGGGCCTTCAACGCACACAACAAGGCTTGGAAGGAGATGCAGACAATAAAATCTCCCATCGAAGAAAGGATGTTGGCTCTTGAAGAAGCAGTCAAGAAGAGTCTCGCGGAGCCCGCTCGCAATGCGGCTCCAATAATTTCTGGGCCGCCGGCCCCAAGAACATACGCGTCGGTGGCAGCACCGCCAATGGCCAAAACAGCGGTTCGAATACGCGTCGAGGGTGCAAAAGACATGCAGCCAGCACAGCTGCTAATGAGGGCACAAAAACATATTCCAGGGGCATACGCAGTGCGACAGATGCGGAGCAATGACACCGAGGTGTTTGTTCAGTCGGCCACCCAGAGAGACGTGGCTCTCAACATGGCAGAAATAGAGGACTTTCAGGTCCTAAGGCAAGATTTTCCGGTGGAAGTATACGGAGTCCCGTTGAGGACGAATATTGAAGGAGGCAAATATGCCAACAACACAACTTTGATACGGGAGATGGAATCGTCTACAGCGGTACGAATTCCAGGTCTAAAGATTAATAAAATAAGATGGATGCACGACGGAAAGGAGATCGAGCGGGCCAAGACAAATGGCCGCACAAGGGGCTCAATTGTTCTGAGTCTTCCCACGGAGGTCTTGCAGAAACAAGTTGTTCGACATGGCATCGTCATTAATGCCATGCTATACTCAGCGCAGGTGTGGTCCCCGAGGGCGCAAGCAAAGCAGTGCTACAACTGCAGTCAATGGGGACATACGCAGGCGTCATGCGGAAAGGCAGCTAGGTGCGGTGAGTGCGCAGGTGCTCACCAAACCCGGGACTGTCCTAGGAAAAGAGTTTCTTGCGTCAACTGTGGCAAGGAACATCGTTCGTGGCAGAGAGCGTCATGCCGAACATTTCAAGCCTACAAGGGGAGTGTTCAGAAAGCCCGCTTCGAGCTTCTGGAACGAACGGCGGAAATTCGAAGGGAAACCAGTCCCATAATTGTGTCGCAAACAGCATCAGCGACCACCGACGATCAAGGGTTTACACTGGTTACTAATCGAAAGGTTGAACCCCAGAAGAGGGGACCAGGACGTCCACGAAAGGTGATCGCAGACTCAACGGCAGTACTAAACACATTAAGGGCAATGACACCGGCAGTTCCAACGATTCCGTCATCGAAAAGAGGAGAGCAGGATGGTGTAAGAAATCTTCCAAACTTCAGCTGAATAGGGATCGGGGCGATAGAGGAGTTAACATTTGGGGTGAGACAAAATTGAATGGAACAAAGGGGCAGCCTCAGCATTAAGCTGGGCTGTGCCGTCGCGGCGGAACTATGGGTTTTGTTGCTTGAAAGCTTTTTCCCTATTTTACATGGCTTACCGTCTTCATGGTTCTGTATATAGATACCGCATAGGACGTTAAACTAGATCAAATTCAATTCAAAATTCAATAATAATAATAATAATAATAATAATAATAATAATAATAATAATAATAATAATAATAATAATAATAATAATAATAATAATAATAATAATAATAATAATAATAATAATATAGTGTCGCCTGTACTCTCGCAACCGAAGCCTTGGCACGTACAAATCTCATTTTGTAAATCTCCTTGCCAAAATTCGAAAGTTCACGCCCATTGAAGTTATATTCTTCCTTTGCATCATCTTGTGAACTTTTTGTGACCCCTCTCACTTCCATCCAAAGAACTGTCTCCCAGATTTGTGCGATACGCTTTGCTTCCTCCGTCGGATGTAAATATCGGCATGGGCGTGTATTTTATGACCAGCTGAGGCCAGAGAAGGTCGAAGAGTGGTGTGATCATTGGGATGAGGATTTACTTGGTCGTACTTGTAGGCTTGATGAGACTTAGGTAGGAGTCTAACTCGTTGGGAGTGAAAAAACGACGTGGAGGAGTAAATTGAATCATTGCCTCGTGGGCCAACTTCTTTGAAATTACGAAATTTGACTGAACTTGGCTCTGGAAGAATATTTCACTCCCAGGTTCGTAGAGGACACCGCGCACAGGTGTTCAGTCTTGCCCTTCCCTTACATTAGTATTACTAGTACAACGCACTACAGAATGTGTTAATCCGGTTACACGACAATAACCATATTGTGGGTGTGAATTATGTGCACATATATCAGTACTATCAACCGAATTAATGGCATAGAAATTATCATTCATGTTATTTCACATTCTCATTGTCCCATTATCTCTTTCTGCATGTTCCCTGTTATCTCTAGCTCATACACCATTCCATATCTGCTCATAGCCTAGGTACAACACGACTTGCCACCTAGTAATTCCGCTCAACTGAGCAAAGTCCTTCAACAGCTGCCAGACACGAAATTTGAGTAAAGTTCCTTGCGCTAGTGTCCTCTACATTGCCCCCCCAGTCGCCACCAGACCAGTGCTAGTCTACTCGGGAAAAATGAAGCAGCGAGTTCTGTATGCCGCACTTGTAGTGCGATGCGGCTTCCGTGTGACCAGATCGATCGACTCCCGGTGCCGTTATTGTGAACTTTCTAATGATAAGCATATACAAACAATGTATTAAGAACGTTTACAGATTTATCTAGGGTTTGCTTGGGGAGAAAAGGTGCTAGTAGAAGCTCATTTGATTTTAAGGGGACTTTTAGGATCGGTCGGTAGGTCAGCATTAGTCTCATCATTCTGCGAATAATGTAGCTATTTCACATACGATACAATTATAGCTAATTCTGGTTGTCGCTAAGTTGTATGTTCCCACTAAAAGTTTTAATATCAGCTGAGATTTTTCTAGAGTCACACTGCTTGCAAATTTCAGCCGGTCTTCCGTTCTTTACTTGATAAAGCAGCTCTAGTTTCTATCATCACTCGTATCAAGTACTCGTTCCCCCAAATAGGCGAACGACATCCAGTTGTGCGCAGGCAAAGTAGACGCGACGCACGGCACGTGATGCTTGGGTAGCAAGGCTGTTGTCAGAGAAGGCGCAAGGCTTGACAAGTCACATGAAGTGCTTTGGTGGATTTGCTTGGCGGGGATAAATTGCAAGGGTAAGGTTAGTGGGCCACATGATTGGTCAGTTAACGAGTTAGCTTGATATAAACTCATAGACATTTCTACTTTGCCCAATTAAGCACATTCACATTTCCATTATCACAGCAGTCATCGTAGGTGTACGTTCCCTCGTCTATCGACCAAGTAATACAAATCCCGTGTTGGATTTGTGGCATAATGTCAATTTTTGTACTCCCGATAGCGCTTTCATCAACAGCCTCTCACTCGAAACCATTGTTCCAATCGGTCAGGGAAAATGAAAGCAGGATTAGGAATAAGCGTAAGCGCCATGAATCTATGTCAGAGTCAGCATCAGAACCAGAGATTGAAGAGCTTGATGTCAAGGATCCAAGAACAAATCCTCTTAGTCTAAATCCTGACGAGGTTTTTCAGTATCGGACAGCGGGCCTTGAATTGAATGAAACGCTACCTGCGGTAAATCAATGGCCCCATCGTGACTTTACTGAACCAATGATGTTGCCGGTCAGGCCGAAGAAAACTAAATCAGCAAGCAAGGCCAAAAATATTGAAACTGAAATTTGCGATGATGAAAGCCTAAACACGGCTGCTAAAGCGGAAGAAAATATCTCAGCATCAAAAATAAGTCGTGAATCACAGCTTCATATTCGACATATCAAAGTATTAACGGCCATTCTTCATCGGTGTCTTCAGGATGGTGATATCGCACGTGCAAGTCGGGCCTGGGGCCTACTAACTCGCTTGCAAGTCTCCGGTCAAGGAATAGACTTGAGGAGTAGCGGCTACTGGGGAATTGGCGCTGAACTTCTGATACGAGGTGCTAGTATGCCCACAAGTCGTATCAACAATTCCAACCCTAAAATAAAAAGTGGCCAACAAGCCGATGAAAATGAAATTACAGGTAAATTTCCAAAAATACCGAGTCATCGAGGGCTAGCAGAAGGGTTAAGAAGAGCCATAGATTTCTATGAGCGCTTAATTATTGAGTATCCTTTCAAAAGACAATTCCCTAAAAGCATGAGCGCTCTAAATTGGTGGCCAATCATGGCCGGCTGCGAAATTTACAGAATTCAGTTGGAGCACACCATAGCATACGAAGTGCTTAAGAGAAAAGAAACAATTAAAACCCCACTTAACGATATGAATGAAGATGATATTTTGGGGGATTTTGAGGGAGGATCGGAAGAGTTTTCGAATTCTGGAGATAGTGAAGAGATCAGTCTTGAATCAAAGCAAGAGCACGAATGGCAAGCAAGAGATCGTATTCGTAAAATTGCTCTGGATGCTTCGGAAAATCTAGCCACTCGTCTAGATGAGCGAATGGTAGTTCCACCATTTTCCGAAAGTCGTGATATGTTGTGGCTGCGAGGCATGTTAGCATTATACATTGGCGACCTAAGTGTTCCAGAAGAGGATAAAGCTAGAGAGCTAGATCCTTCAAAGACCGCTTGGCCGGAGCGTGAGGAATCATTTGAAACAGAGAGGATCCGTATTCAACGGAATTTAGAGTTGCGAGAAAGGCACAACCTTTACAAGCATGGCTTGGAGAAGAAAGCGCGGGAGTGGCAAGTGGCTGGTGATTTCTTCGAAAAAGTAAAAAATGCAGGTGGTGATCCGCCAAACCTACCAGACTGGAGGAATTATGCTGAATAGGACAGAACAGGATTGAATTCCCTGCTGAGTCGTTGAATACAAAGGAAAATTGGGGGGCTATTCTCAACACCTGTCAGGGGTATTCCCTACGAACATCCAGCTCTCACTGTAGAGTCTGCAGAGCCGAGATTGAGTAACAAAGTCCTCACTTCGACGAGGATTCCCAATCGCTTTCGCCGTCTGTATCGTCTTCGTCTCTCAACGCATTCTCCTATCACCATCATCATGAAGCTAACCACGATCAGATCAGATGGTAGAGTCGGAGCCCTTCTCAACAACTACCCTTGATCATGGAGGAGAAGTCATCCGATGAGTTTCCGGAGCGTACTCAGCACCCGATACTACGACGGTGGATTGGATCAAGTCGGCCTCGACTGTTACAAAGAAGGGAGATGTAGATGAATATGCGCATCTCATGTGGTCCCGGTGTCTAGGCCTAGCCTGGCTGGGGCTGCAGGTTTTTTGAGACTTTTCCCTGCGCACGCAGCTTCCATCACCACCATTTTTATTTCTGGGATGAAGGGTACCGTGGAAAGCTGTTTAGATTCTACGGTTAAATACTGAGGCAAATGGCTATCAATCCTGGGCGATATATCAGAGATATATTTTCGTTATAAAAGATGACATGATTAGTGTACAAAGTGTGGCCTGGATCAGAGAGGGGCTCAGTGACCTAGATAGTCTATGGCTCAAGTAGCACCAAAAATAATACACTCAATAGCTCGGAATTCACTGGACTTTCACTGACCTATGTTGGCGCGATTACGTCAAGAAATTATTGAACATTGCATGAGAAGGTGTAAGGATTCTGGAGAAATGTCTGAGGCAGAACTCATGGATTCCTTATCTAGTCCCACTAGGATTTATTGATTAGATTGGACAGTTATGTGGTTTTCATTTCCGAGACTGAGATCGTCACGCTTTGTGTCCTATCTTTAGGAATAGTTACATAATTCTAATCACATTTCACTCTCGTCCTCTGCCAATCATAGTAACCTACCGTCACCTCCGGCCACTTTATCTAGAACTATTCCCCACGTTCCTCTTTACTAATTCTCTAGAAAGCCTTCCACGTACCCACGAGGCGCCCTTTCTCAGTACCTCCTACGCTACGCCCTCTCCTACACCTCGAGTCTTGCGCCTAGTGAACCTGCGCCTGATAGAAGGCAATGATTATCCATTACCCGGAGCGTGTGTGGCCTCTGGTTTCCCATCATACATTTGAGAGGTTCTTCATCTACCTTGAATATTGCTGCTTCTAGTGTTTTCTAGTCTTCTTAAAATCGAGCGACTATCTCTTCTGCTCCAAGTTTCGACCTCGTCCTATTCTTGATCACGAGGACATCTTTGTAGAGAGTATGTCTCTATTGAGACTTTGCCGGGTCGCAAGGCAAGCAGTCTAAGAACACGCAAATGTTTCCAACGACTAGTTAGCTAGTCTTTTTTTAGCAAGGGCTTCTTCAGTTCCTTTTTCCTGCCCAATGTTATGCATAGCGAGTTTCATTCTGGGGTGATTCGGTTTCGTGAGCTTTTTGACCACACATTTGGAGGCGCGCGAGGCATCGTTCTGGGCCCCGTTCCTGTAGACTGGAAATTTTAAGGCAGCTTGTCGCATCCGTTGGTCATTCAGTTGAATAGAGCCCTTGGACGTGCATTTCGTCGATAGTTTGGATGCGTTCCATGCCAGGAGTTTTCCCCGCTGCTGGATGGCTGTCTGTCTTTATGTGGAGCCATTTGTGGTGTGGTGTGTCCCTTTTTTATATTGCACCACAAACTAATATTTGTAGTAAGACTGTGTGATACTCGAATCCTCTGATAATTTCATCATCACACAATGTGGGAAACAGAGTAAGGCTGTCGACTATGCTTCCGTCTCATGTAATGTCGAGCCTAGGAAATGGATTTTTGTTTTGTGTTTATTGTTCTATTTAGTCTCTAAAAATAGGGCAAGACCCTCAAAATCTATCAGAGTGCATTGAACTGAATATATTGACATATTAACTAGAAATAAAAAGTTAGTCATAGCTTTTAGCAGTCTTTCATAATCTTAACCTCAGTATAGACTGTATTTAAAATCTAATCTAATCTGATCTCTAAAAATACAACGACATATAGGTACTTTCTGCCTACAGGCCAGGAGTGTCTATGTCTCGAACTTTGTACTCCCTGCTCGCCTCATTTACAGCTTCCAGTGATGATACCCCCACATGCCTCCATTTGAGTCCACACTTAGAGCCAATATCCCGCCATCACCTCCTCGCTCCAGCCAACGAAGGGATGGTCATTTGCGGGTGAGTTCCTGCAGGGAATAGTTTCAAAAATATTTTATTGTAGGTCTCCTCTAGAATCCACAAAAGGACTAAATGCGAATGTATAGCTACATCGCTGAAGCATTCAATGATACGGGCAAGTCCAGCGAAGTAAGCAAGCGTTTAGGTGAATACTTTCCTCAACTTTCAGTTCTTCTCCCTCCTACCCTGATCAATGCTGCAGTAAATTCCGAGAATCATGCAAGGTGATTAGAAAGGTCTTGGTCGCGTGTAGTCGCCGTGAGCTAGGCAAGTTACCACCAAGAATAGCATTGGACGTGGGATTGTTGATAGCTCATATTTATGGATACCCTCCGTGCTAGAAGAGTCCTCAGTCAGAATTTGGAGAGATCATTTGTTGACGAGTCGAGATCTGCTTATCTCAAGGATACTAGGATTTAAATTTTGCTATCATAGGCTTTTTTTCGCCAGCGGTGTGAATTGTCGGTGGGTCCTCCAAAAGTTTTCTCTGAATGCCGTTGTAGTGTTTTGCACTGCAATATCTTTCCTCTTTTTCATCGTCATTACTGTCGTTTTGATCACCATACGAGTCAGGGGAGGCGCAACTTTGAAGGCGAGCGTGCGGATCTCATTTAAGGTTGCTCCAACAAGGCATGTCATGCACCACTGGTTAGCTCACGTTGTGCGGCAAAGGTTCGTTGGAAAAATGTTTCCCTCTCGCAGGAAAGATGCGGCGCCAAAGACGTCTGGGGATCAAAATAGATTGGTGAAATTGGGTCATGGAAAAATGATCATTTATTTTTAGGCCCAAGCTCCACCTACATTTCATTCTCCATTCATCGGAACCACTAGGCACGAATATGAGATTATCCTATTACCCAAATGACCAGCTAAAGATCAGAGAATAACGACCTGTTCATATTTGCCAAGCTTTACTCAATCGGTTTGGACGACTTTTCCGTGAGAGACATGGGTTCGGGGGTAAGACTGTAGACTTAAAGGTCATATCTGCTTCATAATCTATCTATACATCTGCAGAATTTAGCCCTACAACTTAATCCTGGGGCGGGAAGAGCAGCTTGGTTGGCTGAGAAGATGTTCATTCTGATTGACTTATAAAGCATAAATTTATCCATGCATGACCTCGCAACGCGTCATGGTCCGTGCATATTTTGTGACCTCTGTCGTTATAAAGAAGCCATAGCATTTCGCATGGAAGGCCGTGTATGATATCTTTCCCGCATCTCTTGTCACTCAACCTAGAATTTAACGACCTCATCATCCAGGATGAGTCACATTGACGAGTTATTGGCATACACCGCGTTAAATCCGCTTGCTGAAATACTCCATCGATTCCGGACTAAGTATGAAACAATGAGTAATCCTATGAAAGGTCAGTCTTCGTTGCACTTACTGGAGCACTATCTAATTTTTAAGCAATCGACGGGCTGATTACTAATTTACGTCGATATACGATGGATTTTGACGGGAATGCGACCATTGCTACGCTAGATAACCAGCTCACTGAACTAATGTGCATGATTTCCCAGAAGGAAGTTTCTATCTCTGATTTTGAAGTATTGACCGCGTCAATCCATAACTCTGCCAGTGATAGTCAAATTTGGGCTAGCGTCATTGATACCGTAAATAAAATTTTTCGTAAACCATCATCAAACCCACCTAATCCAAAGAGAGGTATGATGCAGCAGCAACATACATCGACTTCGAAAAAGCGCAATGTCGCAGAATCGACCGGTTATGGTGAAATCGCCAACTATCTTACGCAGGCACTCAATGTTGAACTTTCTGGCAAAGTTTACAGAAATGTCGGCAACTTTTGGGAAACGCAGTTCGAAAATAAAGCGTGGTCTGATCTAACCTCGCGTATCTGGCAAAGTTATTGTGATCACGGTCATTGTGGAAGCGATAACGTCTTCTCGGATAACATGGACGAAGTAGCGATGCAAAGATGGCTTTACGCTTTCCAAGATCGGTTCTTAAAACAATTGATGAGCATAGCCGAAAAAACCAAAAAGCGACAAACCCGTCGTCAAGAAGGAACCTAAAGATCCCAAGGTGCGAGGGAAATTTTGTCACACGACAAAAACCAATCACTTCAAGGGTGTTATAAGTGAACAAAAGCTGGACTTTTTCATCAAATCTGCCACCATTCTAGATTGTCAACAGCACAATTGGAGAGATGTCCGAGTGGTGGGCGAGTTGACCGCGTCACCCGGTCAGAAAGCTGATAAGATTCACCAATTGATGAGATACATGCGCGAAATATTCTATGCTCAGCCACTTCGTCGATTTGTGCAGGGGTTCTGTTTGCACCAAAAGCACGTTGAGCTCTGGGTTGTCGATCGAGCAGGTGCATATAGCTCGACAGAGATTGAAGTGATCAAAAGTCAGGAAGCGCTTGTCCGGGCGCTATCTTCTTACATGCTCATGAGTGACGATGAGCTTGGGCTAGATCCAATAATTAGATATGATGAAGAAGATCGTTGTTTCGTCAAGATTCCAAAGGGTAGAAAGAAACAAAGAACAAATGAGATCTCACCTCAGCCAGTACGTCGATCGGAGGCGATAAGCTCGCGAGGAAACACGTGCTTCAAGACGAGAGACAACAAGTATTTGATCAAGTTTTCTTGGGGCTCTGGTGCCAAACGAAGTGAGCACGAATACCTGGAGCTTGCAAAAAAGCTACCGGGAGTCATTCATCTGAAGAGGTCAAAAAGTCTCTACGAGGTTGAGACCCACCGAAAGGGCATAGATTTTTCGACTGGATATAAGTGGGAAATGAACTCAGAGGAAGCACATCTCTCCCATGGCAAAACAATGGATCCAAAGGTGGAAGATTACTACATGAAACGTGAACTTACCTTTGCCAAACTCTCACCATTCGGACGCCCACTCAACTCATGCTCAACGGTGAGGGAGTTTGTAGGCGGCATCCGTGATGCGATCATTGGACATCGTAATCTCCACGAAATCCAAATCCTTCATGGTGATGTTTCGGAGGGAAACATCATTTTGTTTGGACCGAACCACAAGGGCGTGACAAAAGGGCTACTTATTGATCTGGACATGTCAACTCTCCTCCAGGATAGTCGGGACAATGATGAAGCGAAAGTCATCACTGGTACCACAAAGTTAATGGCTCTGGGACTCTTGGCAGGTATCAAGAACAAGGATTTTAGTGTTCAACAAACGTATCGTCATGATCTTGAGTCCTTTTTTTACGTTCTACTGGTCGGATGCATGAGCTATGGTCGTGACCCGGAGTCAGTACCTGATTACTTGGAGCAATGGTGTACACCTTCTTCAGCCCTGAACTACGGAATGAAACAATCTCATATTGTATGTGATTTTGAGAAACAGATCATAGGTTTCTTTTCGCCGAAGTTCGAGTGTCTTAAGGATCTGGCACGTACGATACGTAAAATCCTATTTGGACAGCCAACATTGTCGGGAGAGAGGTTCATGGAATATGGCACACCGGAAAACTCTGATCTACTGTATGATCCTATTATAGCCGCCCTTAACGATTCCATTCTGAAACTTGAAGGCAAGAAATATTCTAGATTCACGCCGAACGAGTGTCCACTATTTATCTATAGTCGCTGACGAAATGTATCATGTATTACAGGGGAAGTCTTACAAAGGAAAATTAACGATAGCATCTCGATAGAATCTCCTGCAAATATAATTTGTAGGAAGAAGCAGCGAAGTGGTGCAGAGGTGAAAGGCTAAGGAGATGTTACTGATAGATATTCTCAAATTTTCATTAATCCAAACAATTATCCATAGAAAACTTTCACAGTACGCTGTTCTTGCTACCAACTACGCCTTGATAATATGTATAGAGGCCTACCAAGGTCTGGGTGATCTGAAAACAAATATTAAAATTTCGCTCGAGTTTTGTCTATACTGGTAGAAAATGAGTTGGTCTATCGGAACTGAGTCTTTGTTTGAAAAGATACATTAGTCTTGTTTAGGTCGTCAATTATTACTTTACTGGAGACCAAAAGTCGGAAATATCCAGATGACCTAATGTCGCTACAGAACGGTAACTAGCCTGGTGGGATTCTAATACTTGATGCCCTTGTACATTTCTAGGTTACTGCCAAAGACTCCTTGTTCTCTTATTAATCATGATGATTCTCCGACAATAATTCAACAATCTCATAGCTATGCACTTCATGATGAATCAAAACTAATGAACACAAACTCAAATCACTTGTGGAAAACCAGGTAACAATTATCTGGTCGTCAGTGTATGTGTGTCATTCATTTAGGTATGACAAAAGTCCAGCACTAGGTCTGCATGAAATATGATGCTTTTCACTCAAGATGTGCTCATGATTTAGCCCGCAAAGACGAGTTGTCACCTTTCAGTGTTGCCGGTATAACCGCTCAACATGCTCTGCATGTCTGGGATAGCCAAGAAGAATGGCATCGGAATCGAAGTCGAAAGCAGACACATGCATATCTCCATTTAACCACTTCTAAATCATGCCGCGCTTACCATTCTCATTTGAGTTCTCAACCTCTTTCTAACCGCGCATCATCTCACCTCAACGACTGATAAAGGCGTCACCCCAATTGCAAACAGGAGTTTGCCTCAATGATTACCGGCTATTACTCACTACAAATTTACGACGGCACGTATACCTGAAAGAAGAAAATAAAGTTGTAATATACAAAGCTCGGGTCATAGTTTTTATGGGATTGTTGCTCTAATGAGATAAATAACATGAGGGAGAAAAGGCAGCGGAAATGTGGAGCGAGAGAGTGTAGATGTCTCTTAAGACTATGCAGGGACCAGTATATTCGTGGGGCTTTCAACTTTGGAACGTTTGTGGGCGTCAAGGCCGAGATTTCGACTAATTAGCCAGGAGGACTTTAATTGTCTATGAGACGACGGCACCCTCCAGAGTCCGAGACGAAACAAAAGAAGTCTGGTTGAGTAACTATACAGCAGCCACGCTCTGTCAAGACTTTTCTGACATTTCAGTTCGGGAAGGGTGACTATGTCTTCGGATTCAGTCCGAATGTCAGTCCTAGAAAAGCCCCGCACCCGGTGGCTTTGGCGATATTTCCCGGCTGCCACACACCCGCGAAAAGCTATCGTTTCGTTGGCTGGAGAGGGGAGATAATGAAGGGCAAAGGGCTCCTCTCAGTGTATGATCCAATGAGGACTTGTGAGGGGTGGTACTGTTTAAGGGGAGCTGTACGGGAGGCATAGGAGAGGATATTCTACTGGTATAGGTAGCCTTGGCCAGTCGGCAGAGAGGGCCTGCATGTCCTATATAGTCATAGACTCAGATAGGAAAATAAAATGAATTAAAAAAAAGTCGCTACGGACGTGGGGTCGTCGAGTAACTCATGTATTTCAGACGCCCTCCTGCCTAGTACATTCGGAAGTTAAGATTAGTAGGGACATAATGTTGACGAGACGAAATCTACTTTGCTTTCGTGGGCTTTTTGTTCGCCCGCCGGTGGGTAGCACATGTTGTGATATAACGAGGGCTTCTCTGACTACCGTTGTAGCGTTTGGTACCGCATTATCTTTCCCCGTTCCCAGCATCATTATTGTCTTGGTCGTCTTATGTGTTATCGGAAGCGTTTCTTTGACAGAGGGGGAAATAACTCAGCTCAAAGTTGAAAAGGTGGTGTTTCTCAATCTTGGCTCTGCAGACTCTACAGTGAGAGCTGGAGGTTCGTAGGGGCACCACTGACAGGTGTTGAGAAAAGTCCCCCAGCCTGCAGAGACAACACGTCAGTTTATGCCAACAACATCTATCGTCTCATTGTAGATACGAAAAACAAATAGGCCAAACCCCTCCCCTGAGGAACGATCAGGAATATTCGACCTTCCTCTTGGTCGAAGTTGTATTGGTAAAATTATAGAATTTGTCATCAAATTGTGAACTTTGAAACATGTCCTCGCCTACCGATGCCACTGAGTAATCCAAGTTAAGATAACATTAAAGGATACTGGGAACTCTAAATCCTCACCAGGCATCGTATGATTTGAAGGTACAGTCGACTTTCAGGTCTTCATTTTCCTAACAATTCGACATGCGCTGAGTTGCCATAAACGGAGTAGGAACCGTATCTCGTCGGCATATCTACTAACAGTTTCGGCTGAATTTGAATTTGAAATCTTTTACGTGACAGGAAGAACCTAACATCTATTTAGACGTGACACGGGTAGATGGGCTCTGAAAGCTCATTGCTAACTACATGACCGGCAGTGGAGCCAGAAGCGACAAAAAAAAAGATGAACAGTATATGTCTGAGTTACGGTGCCCTGCGCCGCATCCCTATCTTCCACACCAATCTCCTCTCGGGCCAGAAACAATCTCAGCGTGTTAACCTCCCATCCTGTTCATTCTTCGGTGGACTGTAACATCTGCTTGTAGTTAAGAATTGAATGAGCTTCTGCCATCCCTTCTCCCCTATCATTTCCCTGGCCCCAGGTGGGGCCATTTTCTCATAGATTCTCCAACGTAGCAAAGCAGGTCGGCACTCTGAAAAATGCCAGGGCCTTTTCTCTCGGCCGCAAACGCATTTCAGATCTTCATGTTCGGGGTTGAAACGTCTATGGTAGTCGGCGTAGTCCCCGTGGCTAGTTCTTGCCGCAATAAGACGATGGTACGCCCATCTTGGTAAAGCTAGTTCCGGTGGTCTTTTGCAACGCTTGAATAGATCCAGATCTTTGTATCGTTTCGGTCGATACTTCTGCCACCATTCTTCCACGAGCTCTTGGCTGCGCTGTTTAATCCACCTCCCTAATGCCGCAAAGGTTAGATCTTGATCTTCTCCACTGGGCGCAGCTGAGGTTAGTGACCGGTTATTGGAAGCTCCCAAGGCTGATTTGGCCAGCTTATCGGCCTCTTCATTGCCTTGAATCCCCACATACCCGGGTATCCAGCGTATTTCCACACGCTTATTGTGTCTCAGCGATGAAAACTTGTCCACCACCGACTGCGAGGAGTTAGTTCTTCCTCTTTCGAGCGCCTGGGTGGCCGCTTGGTTGTCCAGAAGAATACAGATCAGTAAGTCTTCTCCTACCTCTATTGCAGCCTTCAAGGCTTTCATGGCACCTACAACTTCTGCGTCTAATACCTCTGCTCCGGGAAGTGGACCGGAGCCACTTGCAACTAGCTTGCCTCCTTGGTATACTACATACCCCCAGGATGATTTTCCGGAACCCGATGATGATCCATCAGAGAAAGCGAAGACTGTGTTAGCTGGACGGGAAGCTAACCACCGCTTTATGCTTCCAGACCTAGCTTCATTTTCTCGACTACATAGAATCGATGCTGGAGTGCCACGTGGGGAGTATAGCTTTCCGGGGCCTTCGGCTGTCGGAACTCGACGCACACTCATTTGTAGGCGTGTCATGTACCGTTCTGGTTGTCCGAACAAACGATTTCTTTGTCCCGACTAAGACCTAAGCGTCTTATTGTCTCTTTCGGATCCTCGGCCGCCCGAATGGCTAGAGGGTGCCAGGCATCCATTCTTCGCATACGAGCTGCAGACCGCAGCATCTTTTGCTGAAGAATTATCGATGCCGGGGGTATTCCCGCTTCACGATGAAGAGCGCCATTGGGAGTGGTACGCCACGCTGGGAGTGCTACTCTGATAGCTTTCATTATCGTTTTTCCCAGTAGAGATAGATGCCAGCCTACTCCAGTGCCGACTTCTTTATCTCGCAGTGTGGTTATTCGAGTGAGACCTGGCCACCACGCTTCTGCCCCGTATAGAGCTGTGCTCAGAACGCATGCATGTACCGCACGAATCAGAGGTCCGGGTGCTGCACCACGTTGAACTCCGTTTATATGTCGTAAGAAATGGACTAGACGATTAGCTTTTCCAGTCCATTCCTGTACATGTTGCTTGAAGTTTAGCTGGGTATCAAGCCAGATTCCTAGACACCGGATATGAGGTGACGATACGATCCGGCGATCTTTCACCAAGATGGAAAGATCAGCCGCGTTGATTTTCTTTCTAGGCCCTCCTCCTGTCACTAGAAGTTCTGACTTTGCTGGGTCAAAATCGATCCTGTGTTCTCTTGCGAGAAGGATAAGGCTGTCGAGGTCGTCTTGAGCTGCGGAGATAGCATCCGCCGCGGTGTTTCCAATTCTGACATTAGCTACATCGTCAGCATAACCAAACCTGCTCGTTGGACCATGATCCTCAAAAAGCACAGCGATGTAGAGCATGAAAAGAAGTGGCGATAGTGGCGAGCCCTGAGGTACTCCACATTCCAATATCTTCTCTTCTGTGATTCCACCGTGGTATTTGACTTGAACCTTTCGTTGGCAAAGAAATGTCTGAATAAACCGGCACAGGGATCGTGGCCAGCCTTGTTCTCGAAGGCGCTTGAGCAGTCGGTTGTGAAGGACTGCGTCAAATGCACCTTGAATGTCGAGTGTGACCATAGCTGCATACTTGCCACTTCTCATGGCCGCCTCAGCATCATGGATTACACAGGATGCAAAGTCGACTGCAGATCGTCCTGGTACGAAGCCGAATAGTTGTGGGTGAACAACTTGGTGACTTATTGTCAGCCATGCCATTCTCTTACCAACTAGACGCTCAAGTCCTTTGCCTAA